TGACGGGAGGGGCAGACTTCTCTGTCTGGAAGAGCTCTCTGGTTACATACAAACCTGTCTTCTACACCAGAAATACATGGAATCTCATTCGCCAGGAACGAACCTTGGTAAACTTGTACAGAGGCGTGTGGTTCACACATCATACGCCAAAGTACGCTTTCTTTACTTGGCTGGCCATTCTGAACCATCTCACCACCGGGGATCGTATGCTTACTTGGAACACAAGTGTCAACCTGTCTTGTGTCTTCTGTAATCAACTCAAAACTCGAGACCACCTATTCTTCTTATGTCCTTATTCTGCTGCCGTCTGGACAAAGTTGATGAGTGGTCTCCTTGGCTCTCGGTTCACAACAATATGGGAAAATATAATGGTTCTCACTATCGATAATGGTCAGGAAATGGTCACCACTTTCCTCACTCGTTATGGGTTGCAGGTCGCGCTTCATTCTCTTTGGCGTGAAATAAACGATAGGCGCCACAGTGCTTCTCCAACTACGATTCCTAACCTTGTCACTATGCTTGATAGGCATATTCGAAATTGATGTAGCTCTATCAGAGAATTAGGAGACCAAAAGTATGATACCAGTTTGAGAGTATGGCTTGTTACACACTGAAGAAGAAGAAGATGTTAAAAGAAAAAGAAGTTACAAGAAAAAACGAAGATTAAAAATGCGTTTTTTATTTTTCTTTCACTATGAAAATCTGTAGCACTTATTGCACAAACAGTGTATTTTTAGTTTGAGTAAAATTTAACATATATTCAAAAAAAAAACATTAGACGTGTTAAAACTGAATAACCATTGCTCTCCACTCACATGTTCTATCGTTGATTGCATTTCTTTCATCTTCACTTCTTCAGAATCTTAGACTATAAGAAAGGTAAGTCATATCCTGTTATTTCAATCAATCTATCCTCTCAATCATAAGCTTTTCCAAGAATCCCAATGATAAAAAGGCTAACGAGGTAATTCCAGAGTTAAAAATCATAATTTTAAAACTATTTCAAAAGTTTTTTTTTTGTGAGAGATGAATTCGATTTCGATTTTGTTTACATTTGTTCATGTATTGACTATCCAAAAAGTTCCAAAGATTTTGTTTAGAGGAGATGATTTCGATTTCAAGTTTCTTTGTTGATTTTGTTTCAATTTGTTCGTTAATATTATAAAAATTGTTATTCATTTTTTAGTCAGCCATAAAAATTATTATTCAAAGCATGGAAGATGATAGTGCCAGTGAAAAATATTACCTTTGCAGGTTGGAAATAACATCGGGTCCGTCAAGACCACATGATTGTAAGGTTCAGGTAAGGTAAACCTCTATTATAAATTATTTTCCGTTTTCCAAATCAAGGAAGCAAAAGTACATTAGATTATTTGTGTTAGGTATTGCACCCTCCTATATTCCTCGATGGCAAACTCAGAAGAATCTTGAGTGCAAGTATTCATGGGTTGGTGATAACTACGGCTCCATCAGTGAGGTTTGCAACACATAAATTCTTTTGTCTTGGTTTGTGTAAGTTTATGTCTATTGGTGTTTTGTTTGATTTTCTTTCTCTTCATAGGTTTGCTTCTGATCTTTCACATGCTGGTTTAGAGTCCTCAAATCTGATTGTTGGTATTGATGTCACCAAGAGAAACGAGTGGACAGGTTAGAAAAGTTATGATTATGTATAGCCAATGTTTTAGTCTAGTTTTTAAGTGAATGTCGCACTGATCTGAAAGATGACTGGTGTTTTGATTTTGTGGGTGAGCTCATTCGGTAGGAAGAGCCTGCATTACAATGGAACAACTCCAAACTCTCATGTTATGGATTCGGAGATAGTAATAACTTCAAAGATATCTTTTAACATTTAACTGCTAAATTTGTTTTTTTTTTTATCTATGGTTACAGATTTAAAGGTTGGACGTCCTCTTAGGTCTGAAATTTTGTTTTACTTTTGTTTGGGATGATCCTTTGTTATCTTTCAGGCATGTCATGCTATTCATGAGGGTCCTAAATTGATATCAATTGTAATCTTTCTGATATGTCAGATGACTAAAAGGCATATGTATCACAAATTTTGGAAAATGTCCGGACACAGAGTGGCGGTTGTTGCTGCAGGTGCCTACAAAGGTAATGAAGCAGACACACAATGCAGAAGAAGAGAACGATGATTTCTTCTATGCTTCCGAAAGAGACCACATCCATTTTGTAATATTTTTTCTTCCTTATTTTGTACTTTCGAGCCTCTGTTACTATATCAAACATGAAATTATTTTACGAGATTCAGTGAGTTTAGTGACTTTGATGACTCTGAGTGAAAGTTCTGGATTGTTTGGAAGATCTCAACTTCTGGTGACTCATCTTATCACTCAAAAGCATTAATTACGGATGGGGCTAGCGTGTAATTCTCGATCTCTCAAACTTTCGTATGCTTATATGAAGGAAACACACGAAACTAGAAAATCATGGAAATTAGTTAGTCTTTTTGTTATATTCTGATCATTAACTAACAAAAACATTTGTTTTCGTTATTTGAGAAACATATGCGACCGTATGGTGTCCTTATACCTTTTCTATTTTTTTTTTGGTAGGGTATACCTTCTCTATTTTCTGAATACAATTTCAGATGGTTTGGATTTGAAATTGTGAATTAAGTGTTAATAATTGCAAACGTGGGCAAAATCCAAAAAAAAGAAGAAAATTCAACCTTCCTACTTAAAAGAACATAGGTACACAAAATCCATTACACAAATTTACAAAAAAAAAAAAAAGCATAACGTAACATACCCATAATACAAACCTGAATATATACAACTAAACTTTAGAACTACCGGGATAAATACATAAACTCAAATAATCTCTCAAGCAAAAAAAATTAAGCCCTTTCTCAAAAAAAAAAAAAAACTACCATTTAAAAAAATTATCAACTTCAAATGATTTTACCAAAAATAAAATCAAATCAAATGATTGTAATAAAAAAATCAAAAAACAAAAAAGGAAGTTCCAATTATTATATTGTCTTCTCATCTTTTATCAACACAGACCAACTAAATAAAATGATAAATCACATAAAATGTATTTTTCCATGGTCTGATCACTAAATTATACTTAGGAAAGTTCACAAAGAAAAAAAAACTAGAAAATCACAACAAATACTTAAAATAAAGTGGTGAAAAAATTAATCAAAATAATAGTTTTATGAATTCCTAATATAATATATTAATAAAAACTCATGAATAAATTGAAACCTTCATAAGGTAATGATAAATATATTTATGATACTGATAACTAATAAGATAAATAAATAAAACAGTTCAAATTTAGATAAATACATTATATAGTTAAGAAAATAATATATATATATATACCGTAATTTTTAAAATATATAGAGAAAATTCTATAATATGTTGGATAATTCATCAACAATATTTCTTATTTCATATTTCATCAAATCAAAGTCTACAAAAAAAAATTTAAGAGTATCTATCAGTTTTCATATATAACAAGTAAAAAAAATATGAGAAAAAAAATGAAAGAGTTTGTTTTCATATAAACAAAAGATTTATTCAAATAAATGTGGTATTTAAAAGAAAATTTCCTCATGAATTCCAAATTAAAACGAAGCTAAATTCTATACTGATGTATGTATAGAAATTGTATATTTCCATAGCCTGAAGTATATATGTAATAGAAAAACATGAAAAAAAAATTATAAAATCATATTAAGATAACATAAAACAAAACATATCAATAGATCTACACCGCCAAAATAAAGCAGAACATGACCATCTCAACAATTCAATTATAATATTTAGTTAGCAGCAACAAGATTGGATTGAGTATCCTGATTTCAAACAATTTTAACATACAGATTACAAAATTGAACAACAATTATACACTTGGAGACTAAATTAAACATCCTGATGTAAGACTTGGAGTCTAGATCACGCACTCCAAGAACGAAATGAAGTTGCTGACGCTATTGCTATAAGTGTCATTCGCGATCATCGTCACCAGTCTTACATCGCCAGCAATGCTCCCGTATGGCTACACCATCTGCTCGCTCTGGAAGCTCAGCATCTAACGGTTCGGTGACTTTCTTTCTCCTTCTTGTCTCGATGTCTACTGACATCTTCTTTTTCTCTTATGTTTCTCTATCATTTTGTACTGTCTCGAATATTTTTACGTCTGAGTGTTATAAAAAAAAAAAAAAAACAACAATTATACAAAACAAAAATCAGTATCTAGAAAATATAGAGGGAGAGAGTTCATTAAATTACTTGGAGACTAATTGGAACCAAAAATAAATACTTTTAAATTAAGTGAATATTTTTAAGTTAAATGAAATCTTTCTACAATTCAACCAATTAAACACTATAACTAAAAATTAATTATTTTTGGTTCATTCTACTCATCACCCTATATGACTTCCTATAATAAAAAAAATACTAAAAAATTAGGAATGCGTAAGACAAAAACAATGAATAGTTTAAAATAATGTATAATTATTTAGTTAATTTTATTTTTGTAATAGGTTATAATATACACATACTAAATATGATACAGTATTAATATTTAACTTTAAGCAAAAATTCCGGGCGTAGCCCGGACCGATCCTAGTAAATTATATTTTACACTTTTGTTTACTCCGCCCTACTTCACATAGTTGTTTAGTATTTTCATTGTAGTAACAATTAAGTACCATGTTTTTATATTTTGGAGGGTTTATTTTAAAATTTTGCCACATAGTCTATCAAATGTTTAAGCTGGCCCTGTGAGTCACCAGCTAGAGTTAAGAATCAAGATAGTTCAAAAGTCAATGGTCATAAATGAAAGCACATTATCAACCAAAATAAACAATTCAATTTTAAATTTGCCATTGCAAACTCGTGGAAAAAAATAATAGTATCATGTAAAACTGTTCTTTATTATCTTCAGCTTCCCAGAGAATTTGAAGCATATGCCCCTCAGTATATATACATGTCTCGCTTATCTCCGATGTTCACACATTATACATACATAACCTTAAAAGATGGTGAGTCAAAACAAAAACACCATATCTGGTGTTTATCTCTTGTTTTGTCTCTTGATCACGTCTGCGTATGCAAGCTCATCCTTCATACAACAATTTACTGATCGCCCCAACGCAAATCTGCAGCGTATGCAATCTTCTTTGCTTTAAGATTTGATTCAGTTTAAGAAAACCAGCCTGAATTTTAGATTATGTCTTTAGTTTGTGTATTGGAATATATGTGTCTGGTACAAAAATTAGGGGTCTATATATATATTATTTGACAAGTCACGTTTACATTAATTCTAACAGCGGTTGATTACAAAAATATCTTTAATGAATTAAAATATTATATTTTTTATTATTATAATTAATATATTGTCAGTTAGATTTTTTTAATTTTCCTTTTCCATATTGGTTTCAAATCACATATAGAAAACATGAAACTTTTATAAAATATTCAAATGTGTGTATATTCTATATAAAATTATTTTTTTAAACAGAGATTAAAAGATAAACTTGATATTTTAAAATAGTGGTTTTATTTTAAACATAATATCAAAACATAAGATATATTTCTTTTTGATATTTTTTCACTTAGGTTTTTAATTTTAGCTTCTTTTTATTTATTTATCAACATACTAAGCCGCTTGTATTCTAAACAGAACCAAAAATAGTTATATATGATTCATTTTGGATGAATAAATGTAACTCAATACTATATGCACAATGTGATTAATTGGACCAATTTTATACTCAAAATTAAAGGTTTACCTAATGTAGCCGCATGTTATTATCTATAATATTATTCTAATTATTTATATGTGTATATATATATGTATACATATTATGAAACGATTCAAAAATTATAAAAATAATGTATTAACAAGTTATTATAATTGATTTTTCATAGAATTTACAGATGTCCATAAGCTTTCAATAATTATTGTCACGTTCATTTTATTCAACTCTTAGTCAATCACATTTTAATTTATTGTTTTTATTTATTATTCAAAAAAAACATAGATCAATTCATGCATAACTTCACAAAAATATATTTTCAACCCTAAAAAAAAAAAATTCAATAAAAATGCAACTAACAAATTAATCAAACCTCTAATCATATTTAGAACCATAAAATATAGTTTACTTTGAAGAAATAGATCGAACTCAATATACTCAAATATTCCATAAATAAAATCATATCTAATTAAACTAATAAGATAATGTTATTTAAAAATATTTTATCTATAAAATAAAAATATGATATTAATTGATTATTATCATTTATTTATTTTGAGAATATTTATATCCGTACATGCGTAAATTTTATATATTTATTTTGTTTTAATAAAATATTTATAACAAAATATTAGTTATAAATTTTTGTTTAGGAAAAAATTGATAAAATTTTAAAGAGACAAAAATTTAAAGGTTAAATTTTTTTTTTTTACCCATTAAAATGTTAAGCCGATCCTTCATGTACTGAAACATTCTAAACACATCCTCTATTGTTTTCAGTCAAAACAGAGAAGAATATAGCAGAACCAATGCCAAACCTGGAAGAAGAGCACAACTTACATAAACATCAAGAGATCACATCACGCGATTCTAAAGTCTCAGTTTCAAGTACGGTGAATGGTCTAAGAGATGTGCCTCCGTCGTCTTACTCTCTCAAGATGGAGTCTTTCAACAAGCTCCTTAACTCACCGTACACAGAGAAATATGAATCTCGTCCTTTCCCTGCAGCTGGATACAACTGGTACAGTTGATAATCTTATCTTTATTATTCACTCAAATAAAATCATCTGTAGTGGATCTCAAAGACAATGACAAAACAGGACTCTTGTTGTGTACCCCAACGGGAACAAGAAGGATAGTGGTTCAGGGTACCTTTCGCTTTACGTAGCCATAGACAACTCGACTCTCGTGGCTGCACATCAAGATGTTTTCGTGGATCTCAGGTTTTACATCTTCAATAAGATAGAGAGGAAGTTTTTTACCATCCAAGGTTTTTTTTCATATAAAATTAAATATGCCAAATTTTAACAAGAAAAATGCTCCATATATTATATATAGAAAGTTAGTATATATGGATGTTTTGTTACTGTAGATACCAATGTATGGCGCTACAATGTCTTCAAAACCATGTGGGGATTCCCTCAAGTCCTCCCTGTTGCTACATTCAAAGACCCTAAAAATGGATACCTCTATGATGGAGATCACTGCGAGTTTGGTGTTGATGTTACCATCCCCACTGTCTTTCAAAAATCAGAGCTTTTCTCTGTCGCTGAGAATTTCTATAATGCGAAGTACACCTGGAGGATTCAGGGATTCTCCACACTTCTCAAAGATAAGTACCTATCAGATGTGTTCACCATAGGTGGAAGAAGTTGGTGAGTCCATATTATTTCAAAAATTTTAAGACTTTTAGAGTAGTGGCAGTAACTAGTATTCCATATGTTGATCAGGAATATACAGGTGCACCCAAATGGTGCTGGCACGGCAGAGGGGAAAGCCCTGTCAATGTACCTTGTCCTCAATGCTAACGAGATATTCAGACCCTATGAGAAGATTTACGTCCAAGCCAAGCTTCGAGTTCTAAACCAGCGCCAACTCAATAACGTCGAATGGAAAAGTAAGCAGATTATACACATATAAACTTCTATTAGAGTCGGTATTGTGCATAGCCGGATGAAACATTCATATTAACCAACAAAATATAAAGACACATTATATATATATGCCGTATGGTTCCCAAATTATCGATACTAAATCTTAGATATGTCTCTGATTGCTATGGACACATTCGCCATGAGTAATGAGTGCTTTCTTTTTTTGGCAGTTGACCATTGGTACAATGGTCCGGGATATGGAGCTGCATCTGGTTGGGGTTTTAGTGAGTTTATCCCACTCTCTGATCTCAAAGATTCATCAAAAGGTTTCGTTGTAAATGATGTGTTGATGGTTCAAGTCGAAATTGAACTTATTTCTTCAACCAAGTACTTTCCTAGTTAGACTTTTCTAGTCTGCCCAAGGAATTTACAGCTCCATGTTTGCTTTATTATCAACTACTTAATAATAAGAACATCTGTGTGTTTGCTTTTATTTTTTGTTCTTTCTCATGAAAATCGTCACTCTCCTTGAAAGTACCAAAGATTTTACTCCCAAAAACCCAATATCCTACGTTCGGTTATAACATCTTATATATTAAAAGAGAAGTCATGACTTCACTTCATGTGTGATATTTTAAAATTGACAATCTAATAGAATTTATGACATTACATTATTCAATCATTAATAACATTCATTAGATTCACTAATAACATTTATTGGGCTTACTAGAAATTTTTATTGGGCTAACAAAAATTAGATAACCCATTAGATTTATAGATATTATAATAAAATGCATATTTCAATTAAACTTATATAATTTAATATTGTAATAGTATAAGTTAATTATTTATATATTTTTGATGTTAACTTTAAAAATTATATAGTTTATTTTTTAAAATAACAAAATCATCATTTTCTAACAATAATTAATCTATACTATATCTTATATATTAAAACAGAAGTCATAACCTTGATTCATGTGTGATTTTTTTTAAAAATGGACTATCACTAGAAAGTTATCAATTTGAAGTCATATCATATAATTATCATCATTAACCAACTAACATCACATGATCTTATTTATTATACTAAATGATATTTTTCCCCTTATCATATTTAAAATTTTAAATAAGTTATCAACCATTAATTAAAAACTGACCAAACAGGTTCCTTCTAAAGTGGAAACGACTTATTCTTAACTAATTAAACAATTATAAACATATAACCAAGTACAGTATAAGCAATTAGATATGTTTATAAGCAACTATCAACATGCAAGTCATTAACCTTTTGTTCATCATCTGAATAAACCGGTTCAANAATTTTAAATAAGTTATCAACCATTAATTAAAAACTGACCAAACAGGTTCCTTCTAAAGTGGAAACGACTTATTCTTAACTAATTAAACAATTATAAACATATAACCAAGTACAGTATAAGCAATTAGATATGTTTATAAGCAACTATCAACATGCAAGTCATTAACCTTTTGTTCATCATCTGAATAAACCGGTTCAAGGTAACTTTGGGAACAATTTAACATATTCATATTTTTACACAAAATGATTTATGATATATACCCATATCAGCTCATGACTATTTTAGATACTCAAAAAACTTACATGCTCTACATATTTGTATCAAATTGTATACATGTCATGTCAAAAATGAGAATCTGCTGTAAAATCAAACCAAAAAGATTAGATGAATGAACAAAATAAAAAACTATATTAGATAATTTTCCTTTAGAATATTAAAATATCAAAACAATCACCCACATTCGGCCAACAAGTCATGCAATATTTGGTATATGTATGAAGCAATATCAGTCTTACATAGAGTTTTCAAAACAATCACCCACATTCGGCCAACAAGTCATGCAATATTTGGTATATGTATGAAGCAATATCAGTCTTACATTGTTTCACCATGTATTTTTAAAATATTTTAAAATATATTATATACTTTTATATTTTAATATAATATTTCTGAAAATAATTAATATATTTAACTATATAAATCTATTTCAGATATATTCGGATATCCAAAATATTTCGGTTTGGATTGAGTTTGGTTTCAGCTATCTAAATACCAAAATTTGAATTCATTCGGATATTTAAAAAATTTTGATTTGGATTCTTTACTATTTTTTTTAATCAAATTTGGTTCGGTTTTTCGGATTGAAGGTTTCTGCTCAGTCCCAATTTCAATGGTATTTTTATTTAAATAGATAAAAGGTTTGAAGCTAATAAGGGAAACCTAAATTGATTTCTTGTATTTCATTTTTCAAAATTTAAAATATATGAACAAAATGAAGATTTTATGGTATGTTAAGATAGTGATTTGTGTTTATCCGATAACCAATGATATATTCTTTTACCTTGGTAAGATTTGCTTGAATATGTTTTAAATAAGAGATCAGGATTTGAAAACTCTATGTGAGACTGATATTGCTTCATACATATACCAAATATTGCATGACTTGTTGGCCGAATGTGGGTGATTGTTTTGATATTTTAATATTCTAAAGGAAAATTATCTAATATAGTTTTTTATTTTGTTCATTCATCTAATCTTTTTGGTTTGATTTTACAGTAGATTCTCATTTTTGACATGACATGTATACAATTTGATACAAATATGTAGAGCATGTAAGTTTTTTGAGTATCTAAAATAGTCATGAGCTGATATGGGTATATATCATAAATCATTTTGTGTAAAAATATGAATATGTTAAATTGTTCCCAAAGTTACCTTGAACCGGTTTATTCAGATGATGAACAAAAGGTTAATGACTTGCATGTTGATAGTTGCTTATAAACATATCTAATTGCTTATACTGTACTTGGTTATATGTTTATAATTGTTTAATTAGTTAAGAATAAGTCGTTTCCACTTTAGAAGGAACCTGTTTGGTCAGTTTTTAATTAATGGTTGATAACTTATTTAAAATTNTTGAACCGGTTTATTCAGATGATGAACAAAAGGTTAATGACTTGCATGTTGATAGTTGCTTATAAACATATCTAATTGCTTATACTGTACTTGGTTATATGTTTATAATTGTTTAATTAGTTAAGAATAAGTCGTTTCCACTTTAGAAGGAACCTGTTTGGTCAGTTTTTAATTAATGGTTGATAACTTATTTAAAATTAATTAGATGACAAACATGTAAAATATAACATTATTGTATTTGAAAAAGTCAACAAACATGTAAACCGGTAAAATATAACATTATTGTATTTGAAAAAAATCAAACAAACTTTTTAAATATGATTAAAGTTAAGAAGATTTGCTTTTATTGATGTAAAAAATTTTACGTTTACAAAATTGAAATCAAACACCCGCGCAGTTGCGCAGGTCAAGATCTAGTCTTATATATTAAAACAGAAGTCATGACTTGACTTCATGTGTGATATTTTAAATTTTGGACCTAATTCTAGAAAGGAGAGTTATATTACATTTTCAATCATTAATAATCTTGATATTAAATAAAAAACATTATTAATATAATCTGCTATATTCCCTTAACGACCGGAACTAACTTATCTCTCGGTTATGTTTTAAGAAAACTATTATTCTTTTTGGTTTAACGCCAGTTTGTATGATTAACATATATTAGTCTTTTTTTTCTTGGACGACACATATATTACTTATCATACTCATATTAATGATAAAATAAAATCATTCTACGAAAAAATATGAAAAAAATCAAGATTACTTTTGTTTTTCAATATGAATACTCGATAATATAAATCTGTGAAGCTACAAATTTAATTTTATTTTAAATTTATAAATTTATCAAATGTTACAATATCTTTGAAGATGACTAAAATTATATTTTACCAATCTTTATATATATATAGTTATGATTTCAATAATGAAATGATAATCAAAAAAAATATATATAGAAGATACAAATACATGTGAAAGTTGCAAACAGTTTTTTTTTCAATAAAAAATATACAATAAAATTATTATGTTTTAAAAATTGATAGACACACTTCATATATATTACAATATATACCAATTAAGAATTAAAAAAAATATTTATAAAAAATAAATGAAAAAACTCGCGCGGTTGCGCGGGTCAAAATCTAGTCTAATTTATTAAAATAGAATCCTATTTTTATCTACTGATAAAAAGTTATTGAACCATTTCATTAATAATCTTAATACATTAACTGATATTTGTATATTAGATAATTTGAATAGAATATATTATCACCCATAAGAATATTCTACTATGTCATTTTTTATTTTTAATAATTTCCTATATCACCTTAACAAAATTTTAGAAGATTTTTTTGCTTAATAATTTTAAATACTACTTTAAATTAGTAATTATTATTAAATATGATAAATAAATACTATTTAAATTTTAAATAAAAAAATACTATTTTATGATATAATATTTTAATCTATAAAGTTAAAATATAAAAATTAGAAAATAAAATTTAAGTTTAATAAAACTAAAATATAGAAAGTACACAATTATATTGTTTTATTATATGATTTTTAATGTACAGTTGATGTTTTATATATGTAACTTAAATAAAAGAAATTTAGTTTATTTAGAATAAAAATTATTAAAATAAATTTTGATCAGTGAGAAATATATAGAGAATAATCTAATCCATTTTCATTAGAAAACATAAAAAACTTAATGAAATGAGTTAAATAGATAAATTATTCTATTTTGATTCTTATAAAAATATACTTATTTTAATTTTAAGTAAAATATTAAAATACAAATAAATTATATATTAATATATGTTATTTCATAAAAATATGAAGAAATTACAAATAATTATATATTATTAATATCAAACAAAAAATATTAAGTTACATAATATAAACACACACAAAATTACAATATTATATTTTATCAGATTGTCATAAAAATTAAATATAATTATAAAATCAAAAATATATCCATACGAACGCGCGGGTCAAAATCTAGTGTCTATTATTTAGTACAATTTTCGTCCTTGTGGGATTAATGGGAAAATGAAACTAAGTTATTAATGACCATACTAACTCGTTCTAGACAGCCGAAAAAGTTTTTATTCGAATACACAATATTTTTTTTTACTTTTTATTACTTGACATAATGCTTAAACATCAACTATATTATTTTAAGTAAAAAATATCTTAATTATCTATACAAATAAATATCAGCTAAGCTTGAGCATAAAATCCGTAACCCGAAATCCGAATCAACCCCAAACTGAAAAACTCGATCCATATCCGATCCAAAATGTAAAACATACATGAATGAGTCTTGTAAAGTGTTAGAGCATCTCCAAAAGACACTCTATAACTACAAATATGAAGTTTTTGTTTCTACAAAAAAGAACTCTAAAACTTCAAATTTGAAGGTTTGGGTAGTGAAACTTCAAATATAGAGTGTCACTACTCAAAACTTTAAATTAGAAGTTTCATATTTTTGTTTGCATTTTGGTCCTTACAATTATACATTATATTTATAAGTCTTATATATTTTATGTTTTTACCATTTTAACCCTTGAAAATTCATATCTCGTTAATATTTAAATTTTACACATATTGTTTTCACAAAAAAAAAACAAGATAAGATTAAAAATAGTTAAAATTAGAACTAAATTTAAATTTAAAACTAACAAAACAAAAAATTTAAATTTAAAACTAACAAAATTGTCTTTCAGAAATTTAAATTTTAAACTAAATTTACACATATTTAAATTCTACACATATTTTCTTTCAGAAATAAAGTATCTGTATTGCTAAATTTAAATTTTACACATATGGTTTTCACAAAGAAAAACAAGATAAGATTAAAAATAGTTAAAATTTGAACTAGACAACAACAATATTACAAAACTTAAGGTGATATTTTATTATTTTTTAACATTTAATTATATATTTCTATTAATAATTCATATTTTAGTGTAATATTTTACCATTTAATATTGCTGTAATATTTTTATATATGTGCTAGTTATTTATAAAATTTCTATGAATTTAAACTAGTTATGACAAATATAAGGACCATAGTATAAAATACAAATAGTTTTAAAGTTAAATTTGAAGTTTTGGTTTTGGAGTATAACACCTACAAACTTCAAATATAGAGTTTTGCAAACTCTAAAATAGAGTGTCTTTTTGGAGATGCTCTTACAAAACATATCTAAACTCAAAATTTAATTAATTGAACCCGAACGAATAATCCAAAAACCCAAAAACCTCAAAAGAATATCTGTCGAAACCGATCTAAACGTCCCAACTAATATACATTATAAATATTTGAACTATGTATTTCAAATATTCAATACCAGTAGCGAAGCCAAATTGGTCATTTTTGGTGCAAGTGCACCCAGTGTATTTTAATCTTATATATAATAATACATTTTCAAGGTTTTCCAAGGTGTCTAGGTTGGTATTTTGTGTACTTCGCGCATTTAATTTTTAAAAGTCTATAGTTTTTTTAAAAATGACTATGAACAATGAATACACTTTAGCTGAGTGGTATAAGGCATCTAATTAAGTTCGCAAGCGTGTGAGTTCAAACCATGCAACTGTAATGTATTTTAGTTTTTTCATTTGGGTTATTATCATATAGGCTTTTTGTTTTTAACATTTTTATGTTTTTTTCCTCTGGACTTATTGTTTAAAGTCCAAAGTAGTGGGAAAAATCCTAAGATTTAACGAACTCAAACCCAAATAATTAAAATGGATCAAAAGAAAAAAAAACGAGTCTCACGCGTGGCACTATCATGTCCTAATATATATTTTCTATTAGAACATATTTCCTAATATATATTTTCAAAAAGATTATGTATGTGAAATAAAATTAAAAACCAACAAAATTTAAGTATTTTTCCTTATTTATAAAATGAATATGTAATTTCTCTTACATTTTTAATATTACTATAATTTCATTTTTATCAGACTCCGGCGAATGGATTCCAACAGTCTATGACGCCATAAATAAAAATACTACATCATTCATGAAATATCCAAACTTACAAAAACACATATACAAACCTATCTAATAAAACCCAAACAAAAAAAATTAGCTTAAATTAAAGTTATTTTCAAATTGATAAATTATTTAGTACAAATATAAATACTATAAATAATTAATTATCAAGTTTTGACCTCTGATATAAAAACTATTTACATCATAAAAAAATAAAAAACAAAATAGACATATATTTTTACACACTGGAAACTATATTATAGTTTAATTATTCCTATAAACTACTTCGCATATAAATAACATTTAACACATTATATATAAAATATTTACACTTTACACTCTTGATACATTCTTTCCATTTCATCATTATTTAGTGTTATTAGAAGAACCCACTAAACCAATAACCGAAAAAAACACAAACAAACATCAATGATCCCGATTCCGCGCTTGCGCCAAGAGTATGCAACTAATATTTAAAATTTTAGACTAAAAAAGTAAGGTGAAGGTGGTTAGTTTGGTTATGGTGCAATTCCTGATAAACTAGTTCATTAGTACTTTTGAACCCAGTTATAAAAAAGTCTAGCTTCGCCCCTGTTCAAATAGTGGAGACTCGAGACAGAAAGTTCTTGTACATGTTTCTTAACTTTAATGTGAAGGAGTAACTCAGACCCTATGAGAAGATATATGTTCGAGCCAAGCTTCGGATTCTTAACCAAAGCAAACTCAATAATGTCCAAAAGCAGCGTAGGAAAAGCATATTATAACAGTATAAGTGGTGTGTGTGTGCGCTTATGGCCATGACTAATGTGTTTTTTCTTTTTTTTTTCTCGTTTTCCCCCTTTCTTTAACGGCAGTTGATAGTTGGTTTAATAGAGCAGTACCTAGCTGAGGGTTTCGTCAGTTAATAACTTTTGATGATCTGAGAGATTCATTCAAGTCGCGAGTCTCATCAGATAAGCTTTGTTAAGTTTGTTGTCTATTTGTGGATATGTAACTCTTACCAAACATTATTGTTCATCATAGCATCAAGGGTTTCTAAGTAAATATTGTACTCAATACATATCAAGTCAAACTTCAAATGACGGTCAAATAGAGACGACGTCGCTTGTTCTTGATTTAGGGGCTTTAAGGTTTGTAATAAACCTAACGGTATGATAAGATAAGCCCCATGGTCAGTCTTATTTGTTTTGACATCTTTACCTTCTTCATTGCGTGTATGTTGGTGTTCTAGAGTGTTGCAATACATTCGATCTCGATCTTGGCGTTTAGAGGCAAAGCTGCGACTTGATATGTCGATCGTGCTGGAGAAGGAGCTGGAAAGTCTGCACCAGAAAAATAAATTATGGTTTCAAAATATTTCACACCAATTTTAAAACCAATACACTGCACAGCCAGTAATTATGAACAAAGTAGGAACACACAAATGATCTTGTTAAAGAACTCACATTTGGCGTATATCTCGTTCACTTTCTTGAAGTCACCCAAGTCAGCAAGCCTGTGACATAAAAAAATCCTAAAGATATTAGATTCAAAAAACTCAAATGGATAAATGATTACGTTGAGCAAAATGTACATGATTGTTGTCTTCACCACGGAGGAGTAATCAGCACCACTAGCTTTCAATATCTCCCCCATGTTCTTGAGTACCTTCAATATATACAAATAACAGAAGCAAAACTCAACCGTGCTACAACTATACTGGAAATTTATTTGAAGAGTAATACCAAATCAATCAGTGTTTTTTTTTTAATTACTATATTTTGTCATTTGAAAATGGATTTACCATTTAACTCAGCTTGAGTTAGGAACTATAGCTGTTTCACGTTATATCTTTACATCCAATAGTCAAACAAACATTCAAGAATCAAGACAATTCTAAATCATACGAAACAACAACAGAGATGGGAAGTGGAAAAAACTCAAAAGCGAAACTAATTATCTTTTTATAGACAAACATGACAGTTGAAAAGCTAGTTCACCTGCTCTGTTTGATCCTCAACGCTGTCTGAAACGAACTTTCCAGTCTATACACACACAGAACAAAAAAGACAAAAAAAACACTTGCGATCTTAGTAAAACGAAGAGAATAAGAAGAAGAAACAACATGATAATTTCAAAAATTGATATCTTATAAGGACCGACCTCAGGTATAAGTCCAAGAACACCAGAGAGGAACACAAGATTATTAGCTTTGATAGCCTGAGAGTATGGTCCCAAAGCAGCTGGTGCTTTCTCTGTAGCCACAACTTCCTTCTTACCTGCATTTTCTTTTTTTTTAGATTAAAAACTAACTCTCATTATCATCCTCCTAAGAAGAACCCACAAGACTCATAAACAGATGCGCAGCAAGGACACTGATAATAATCCAAGTATTCATGATTGGTCGGAGAGAGAAATAAGATAGAAGTGCTACCAGAATCAGCGGAGATAGTGAGAGAAGCGAAAGGAAGAGATGTTGAAGACATATTCGGAGGAGAGACACTCCAGCGGGTGGCAACCAGAGGGCAACGAGAGAAGCCAAGTGCTGTGGAGAGGTGGAATGTTGGAGAATTTATGGATTTGAAGACTGATAAAGTCATTTCACGGCGCGGGTACAAAAGCAAAAGAACCAAACAGTGTTGAGAGAGAAAGGTAGGTGAAGAAGAAGACTATGGGATTTTAAGCAGATGATTCTCGTGTCTTGTCCTCTCTTCCTTTTACATTTCCAAATTTGGCCTTAGACCATTTTTTTCTTTTTCTAATACTTCAAATCATCTTCTTTTAAACCTAATTATTCAACACATATTTATTTTTAATAGCATATGGTTTGTTTAAAAATTTGCAACATTCTATCCACCTATTTATTTTATATTTTGGTGTATTTAATTTTGATTGTATATTAATAACTGAAATATATAAAAAAATATTGAAAAAATAAGATAGTTATCAATATAAAGCAAACCAAAATAGATAATAGTTAATACTTTTTGGAATTTATTTTAGGAAAACAATTATTTAAAATATAACAAAAGATTATATAAGAAAATGTGTCCAATTCAAATAAAAAATTATATTCATAGAACACAAAAAATAATAAGTATTAATATAAAATAAGAAAAAGTAAATTAGTTTACTTCAAATAATTGAAATGAAATGACTTGAGCGAGAAAAGAAAATCTCAACTATTTGAATGACTAACAATTAAGTTACACATATGTATGTTAGACCCCAATATTTTTATTTTTTAATTAGTTGAAAACTTCACCTACCAACAATCCACATCACATTTTTGTTTGTTTTTTCAACAGTTTATTAGAAGCATATGCAATAGTTGAAAAATATCATTGTAAATGGCTTTAGTTAGGTAAACCATATGAAATGTCTGGCCATATCTCTCAAACAATAACATATATATAGTGTTAATATTACAAATGAAATTATTATTACACTCTTGTACTATGAATATATTTTATAATGTACTTACTCGTAGATGTAGACAGTGGTAGACCCAAAAACTTTTTAGCCGGTCATATATATATAATTTAGGGAAATTTTAATTTTATCATAAGTTTGGTATCACTTTTCAAATTTATTATTAATGAATTACTATTTTCATAAATATCTTAAATTTGTAATAAAATAACACTAAACTAATTTTTAAAAAATATTTACAGAATATTTATAAGCTCAGGTCCGGTCCATAGCACAAGCAATATAACCAATTGCTTAGGGTCTAAATTATTTGGAGTTTTTTTTTTCGGGCTGAGCCGGTCCGTGTTGTAGTGTAACGCATGGACGACTCATAAAGACCCAGATAGCAAGCTATCTTAATGGGTCTTCTCCCTAAAAAAATAGAGTTAATATCGCGAGGCCCGATGGACCTCATATCAGATATTAAACTGATAAGAACATATACTACACTTGATCTTAGCCAAAAGGCCGAGAAAGGTATTATTTGGAGATTTTTATCTTAAGCAAAAGGGCCAAAATTTTTTTTTTTTAAAAATCACTTAAAGGGAAAGGGCCCAAATTTTTTATATGAGTAGGGCCTTCAGTAAGTTAGGCCGACCCTGTATAAACCCAACTCCTTAATATTAAATTTTAAACAACAGTTATTAATGTCTACACCCAAATATTAATATATTTTTTGATTAGTGGTGTTTTTGTAAAGTGGTATTTAACTTGTGGTATTTATAAAAAAATTCATATAATTTTCAAAAATAAGGAAACAAGGATATTACATGAGATTTGACCTTAGGTTATAGAGTGTCAATTAGAGCAGAATAACAATTTTTGCTTCAGATTATTTGGTAAATTCCTTGTTTGGAGATACATTAGGCGTTTGTCGGACAGCCGATCCGGGTCTAGCGATTTATTAAAAAGACGGGGAATACGTGAAATTTACACAGGGTGCAATTAAAAAAAATAATTAATATTTAATGTAATTTACGTTTAATATTTTATCATAAGAAACATAATAAACGAAATGCGGTATGTTTAGGTTCCAATTATTTCTGGCTCCGGGTTCAACACGCTGGCTATGCTGTTTTGATGGCTTTTTATGATTTTTTTTTGTAGAAAAGTAAACTTGTAATTTTTTTTCTCATCTTCTTCCTTGACCTATTTCTTTACAGAGTTAATAGTGCCACCATTTTCATTGTTCTTGAACATAAATCATCATTTTTAATAGATTTTCGTCAATTCAACTTATGTTCTTTCCAACTACCATCACAATATGGTAAATCTATGGTGTACTTACCGATTCAGATTCGAAATCACCAGAATATACATGTTTTTTTGTTTGAGCCCCGTTGTTTCCCGATTATGGTATAATTGTGGAGACAGAGCTCTGCCAAGCGTATCACCGACGCGGAATTGGCTGCTGCGGTCGCGTTTTCATACATAGGCTAAATGTATACATTTTTAATTACAGTGAAACCTCTATAAATTAATAATGTTGGGACTACACCAAAACCAAAATTTTTATTAATTTATAGAGATTATTAATTTATCGAGATATTAGTTGAACCAAAAATTCAATTTGGAACTATGAAATTATATTAATTTATAGAGATATTAATTTATAGATTATTAATTTAAAGAGGTTATACTGTATTTGACCCATTTAGAAGTGTCATGTGACTCCCGTATGACCTTAGTGGGTCTTTCCCATGTTCGTAGATGATTTTGATCACACAAGTCATTCTTGTAATTTTGAAAGCATAAGGAACAATTCAAAATTGTTTGATGTTGACCTGAACAAGTAGAGTAAAACGTTGAGATGTTCTGTAGAGTTCATGATAACCCTTTTGGTTTTTAATTAAAGTTATACATGTCTGATATCTCCATAGAACTTGTGTCCAGTCTCATTATCTGCAATGATTTTAATTATCTTTTAACAAAAACTAGATGACATCTGCATGCATACGCGGAATGAGTTTTTTATATTAATTTTTGTTCTATTTTAACTTTTTGTAACACTATAATATTTATCGATTGTAGAATGACGGATAAAAATATTAGTCTCTTGAATATATCATATGCCTGGCATTTGAAGATATGTCGGCTTCAGTAAAATGGAGGCTAAGGAAGTTTTAATAAAATCGGTTTCTTTACCTCTCCCAATATATGCAATGTCAGTGTTTCGCCTACCTAAAGGTCTTTGTGAACGACTTACGAGTGCGATTATTGAATTTTGGTGGAGTAGTGGGGATAAAAAAAGGAAAATCCCCTGGGTGGCATGGGAAAAATTATGTAAACCAAAAGAACAATGAGGTCTCGGGTTCCATGATATTGGTCGGTTCAACCAGGCTTTACTTGGAAAACAAGCTTGGCGAATTTGGAATAATCCCGATTCTTTGGTCTCGCGCATTCTTAAAGGCAAATATTTCAAAAATGGGAATTTTTTGGACTGCGGCATGAGCACACGGCCATCGTATGCATGGAGAAGCATCGCATGGTAGAGAATTACTAAAAAAAGGTTTATATCAACATATCAGCAATGGGGTTGATACCAATGTTTGGGCGGAAAACTGGATTATCGATACCATTCCTCGGCCACCAATGTATCGGGAAAATAGTTCCAA